CACGCCACAAGTTTCCACAGCCCTGGGCTATTTGGACACCAGGTCATTATTTGTCATTTTACAATCTTATTGAGAGATATCAGAAAATAAAACACTGCAGTACAATTCTCTGGACGCTCTAGGTCAGTAATTATCAAAAAAAAAAAAAAAAAATGTAAAATTGACCCTTTGGGTAGCCATTATAACAGGGTCGTTTAGAAAAGGGGTGTGTCCAAATATACCCCAAAGCCTATAAAGCCTAAACAAAAACTCAAAACTTCACAAAACTAGGTGAGCACATGTGACCGGTGATTCTAAACAAGCATGCAAAGTTTTATGGAGATCGGACCACTATAAGTCATAAATATTAAAAGTCATCATATTTCTAAAGTAAATTATCTGGATTTGCCAAAAATGCTTAAAAAATTGATTTAGGTGGTTACAGCCTTGCTAAATAATATGTAATGTCTTTTTTCATATGCGCTTAATCGCCTTAAAGCGATTGAACCCCGATAATCGCTGCTTATATTATATTATATTATAAAGATAACTTTAGCAAATTGCTACCTTTGTCTGAATTCAACTGTCATTTTTCAATTTCTTAATTTTCTAGCAAATATTAAATACATATTTTTTATTTATTTTTTTGTCATTATTTGTCATTTCACAACCTTATTGAAAGATAAGGTACTTTCCACAAAAATAGTACAACGATTTTCAACAAATGGTGCTTTTTATATTATATTATATTATATTATATTATATTATATTATATTATATTATATTGTATTGTATTGTATTGTATTGTATTGTATTATATTATTCTAAAAAAAAAAACATTTGGTCTGATTAAAATTAGTCTCTTCTAATGGTAAAATATGTTCGTTTAAATAACACATTGAATATTTTTCTTTGCAAAGAAAATAAAAGGACGTTTAAAATAAAATTTCAAATACAAGCACAAAGATGAGATGATAATTTGTACTGCATTTTTGGAAAGTGACTGAACAATATTAGGTTTTAATTTTAAGTATCTCCAATCCATTTGAAGTATTCAAACAGGTTGTTCACTCGTCCTCACCTGGCAGGATCCGTCAGGCTGAAGGTTCCTGACACCATTCCTCCACCGGGGTAAATAGATTTGCTCTCAAGGCTGATGCCATCAGGTGTCTGCCAACATTGAAGATGTTGAAACATTTATAAATACGCATTAAAACGTGAACACAAACAGCTAAACACATTCACGAGACGTACACATACAATACTGTGGAGTACGAAAGTTTTCACAAAGAGACAAAAATCTGGCATGTTTTGCACCTCATTGTACTTTAATACACATTTACCAAGATCTCCACTCTGACGCCACTTTCCACAGGCTGTGTCATGCCTGGACTCAGTGAAAACACCCGGTAATAAACTAGAGGGAGAAGACAAGCATTAGGAGACTAATTTGGTGCGAGGACTATAATTCAGCGCAGCAAATATTAGCGCACCTGTACTGTCTGGAGTGTAGATGGTCTTGTCGGTCTGTAAGACTATGTGTCCAGATTGAAAGATCACCATGACCTTTTTCTCCAGCAGCTTCTGTGGAAACTGGGCTTGCAGGATGGCATATTGCTGCACTCCTTTCTCAAAGGAAAACGCATTAGCGGGTACCTACAGACACACAATACACTGACAGCTGAGGGAAAAAAACACGCTGAAACACTGCAAACTAGCATTCATTGTGCTAACACAGTTAAAAACACGGCTACATTCAAACATTTTTGACAACCTCCTCCCAAAAACATTTGATGTGAGTGGAGCGCCTGACCTCTATCTCGACCAGATCCTGGTAGTTCTTGGCGGATGTCAGAGTAACTGAAGCGCTCGTCACTACGCGGTTATCGTTAGGGCTTCTCACTGAGATTTGAACATTCAGACTGACTCCAGAGTAGTCCTGCGCCTCCACGAACACTTTATCTGGGGACCCCACCTTCAGTATATTGGGTGCCAAGAGAATGTAGCTGGAACAAAACATTCATTTAGGAGGAACGTGTCTTAGTCTCAGCACCTTTACAAAAGATACAGCACTTGATTTATTTACTGAAAACGAGGGCTGTCCAAAATGTATTTATTAGACAAATTAAATATATTTCATTCGGTTTCTAGTGATTTGGTTGGAGCCGTCATAATCTCTTTACAAAAGCGAATACACAATGCACACAACAATCCTGTAGTAATCCTGTAATGGTGGAGCAGCTCATTTATTTTTAAAACTCCAGTAAATTATCATTATCAGTAAATTATCACATGCAAGCGATATAAGTAAAGTAATACATCAACGTAAAAAAATATATATATATTGTACATAACATTAATATTGATATTGTATTAATATGATTAATTTGTTGTTTTAATATTACTATTAATATATTGATTTGAATAGTAAATTGAATAATTGTACTTTCTTTATTTAAATTTTTTTTTTTTTTTTTTTTTTGCCTTAACCTTTTGCCTTTTCCTATAAATGAATAAATAATTCAGCTATTTATTACCACAGCTGGAACAAATAAAAATATCACCTTTAAGAGATGATATAATTATGTTAATGTTAAAATAAATATATCATTAATATTGTATTAATATTAATATATTTTAATATTACATTTAATTTATTAATAGTAATATTAGAATTAGTTATTAAAAATAAATTTAATTAGTATATTAAAATTTAAAAAGTATATTTAAACTATAAGAGATGCCAATTAAGAATTTGCAAATTCCTTTATCCTCATTTAAACATACATTTAGAGCAAACATTCCCTTTTTGATTAAGTTTTTGAAAGTTTTGCCTTTTTGCCTTTTTTTCCCCTGTAAATTTTGAGCACTTAGGGGAAAAAATCCAGTTAATTATGACAACAGCTCAACAAGTGATATAAATGATGTAAATATATTAATGTTAAAGTAAACCTACCATTAATTTTGCATTAATATTAATAGAGGTATAATACTTAATATTACTTTAAATTTATAAAAATTGTAATATTAAATATTTCTAAGTATACTAATATGCTAATTTAAAATCCATTTATTCTTATTTAAACATTTTTAAACACACACACACACACATCAGATATCAGAGAAGGTGTTTAAAATCAGGAGGAACATCAAATCAGTCAAGCGAGTGCAATCCTAGTGCAGTGTGTGTGTTGTGATACTCACAGGGGGTCGCAGAGGGAGAGGACGGGTAATGAAACGACAACAGCCGCCAGCCACAGCGAGTCCACGCGCATCATGCCTGTCTGTCCCTGACGGTCTCTGAACTATCAGACGCTAATTCACAATATATTCTCATCCTCATCCTCATCCTCATCTTCCACGCTGTCAGTTATTGGGTAAGATGGGTGGAGGAACCTGCGCTATGATTCAGCAGAGGACTATCCTGTGCGATAAAGTTGTGACATCTACTCTGTCCGGTTCAGAGCGTCACAGCAGCATCACGCTGGAATGGAATCGTGTGCTTTTAAATAAATTAAATGAGTAAATACTGTTTATATTGTGAAAAGAAGGTTTGCACCTACTGATGCCCATCCAACACCCTGCTTTAGAACTTGTCATTTTCTGCCGGTGTCTGCAAAGTCATTGCGAACCTGAAGCTAAAAACCACAATTTCTCAATCAATCGAATTGCTGTTGGTGGTTGTAACGCAACAGGTTTCTTTCACCGTCAGCGGCCTGATCTACAGTACTGATTAGAATGAATAGGCCTACAGAGCTGTCTGATCTTACATAATTTTCAATTTTCTGGCTCTGAAAGTTCAGACGTTGATGCAGTCATTCTGTCTTTCACAATCATCCACTGAGCCGCTGTTTTGCAATGATGTTGAATGGAATGGAAAACGAATAATTAACTTCAAAATGATAATGAAAAATGTTTTGTAACCGTTACAAAAATGTATATTTACTCTAGCATGTTTGAATGTCAGATTAGAGCACAAAGACAATATTTATTTTTGCAATTCAATGCACATTATCTTCTATTATCACAAATAAGCGTTAAACATGTTCATTTAACCTTTTTATTTCCAGAGCAGTAACAGTATAAATGTTCGGTAGCATTTTCAGTGCAGCAACTGATTACATGTAATCTGGATACATAATCAGATTCCAAAAAAATAAGTACTTGTAGGCTAATTAGACTGTATTATGTTTTAAAATGCTCATATTCAGATTACAGTTACTTTTTTATGGATTACACAATTACATTTTAGTTTGTTTTATTCACACAAAAGCAGTAAATTATTCATAATTGATTCAGGCCAATTCTTCTTTTTCTTTTTTCTCTTTTAAATTTTTGTTTCTAAATGAACCCACTTACATTTGGACAGTCTTCCAGTTTCTGTGTAATTGCACACACTATTCACTAATCTAGCTATGATTGCACAGAAAATGGACACATTTTAATTAGTATTTGAATCATCACTCAATCAGTCATTTATGTACTGCTATGTCTTTGGAAGGTCTTTGCTTTAAAAACACATTAAACTGCACAGATTCATGCCATTCAATCCACACATGCATGCAAACTGACTGCAGTAGTGCGGTAAAGTTAGTTTTAGTTTTAATTTAACAACATATTTGTACGTTCATGGTTCTCTGATGTTGGTTAATGGTCACACTGACATTTAAATTTCATTGAATTTTGATTTGACTTTTTTATGATTTCATAATTATGAATACATCTCTCTCTCTCTCGTGTTACACAATAATCCCATTTCTGTGAAAAATGAGTTAGGTCAAAAGTAATCTAAAAGTAGTCAGATGTAATGTAACTTGATATGTGTAATCCAGATTATGTTACTAACTACAAATTTCATAATTTTGTAATTTGTAATCAGTAACAGACTACAATTTGTAAGTAATCTACCTAGCACTGAGTATTTTGTAGTCAAGACTTCACTAAATAATGTTGTGTTATTTTGCCTTTAATGAACCAATAAACCTTATATATACACTTTATTCCCCATCTGTAGCAATAAACCCAATTTGATGAAACTTTCACTGGAGTAAAACTGTGACAGTGAACTATGAATGGGCCTTTAGGGTTGACACAAGTGTTACCAGAAAAGGGAATACAAATCAAGCAACGTTTTTGGATTGCATTACAGATTCCATGGGTCATTACAGCAGGATCATTAAGTTGTGCATCCAAAGTTGAAGAGCTCGTTAGAGAGTGCTGTGATGCCGACGTGCTTGTCTCTGTATTTTTGGGTTTGGGCTTCCTCTCGTGTGGGCCAGTATTCAATCCAGGTCTCCTCACCCAGGCTGTACCTCAGCCTAAAAAAACCCACATAAACACATGAAGATCATCCATACTGTCTGTCTCTGTGTGTGTGTGTGTGTGTGTGTGTGTGTGTGAGAGAGTTCAAAGCTCACGAGCTGATGTGAAAGCTCAGGGATGACATGAACGTATTGTGGTGGACTGGAACTGAACTTGTATGTAAGTGTGAAATCGTTCTCATAACGTTCATAAAGCTCCTACCTTCCACCAATCCTGGGAAGTGACGTGGTTTGGCCCATGATCAGGTAGGTTTTGCCTTCTTGGAAGTCCAGAAACTCTCTACAATAAGGATGAGCCAAGAAAGACCTAATCCTTCCTTCCACATCTGCTTCAGTGCCTGAAAACCATGCAGAAGAAGCATTATTTACTTTACAACTTCAAATGCATGCTTATTCATTCCTCATATTCTATTCACCAAAGAATCCCAAAAATTTAATGTATTAATCTCCACAAAAATATGACAGAGCACAGCTGTTTTTAACATTAATAATAATCAAAAATGTTTTCTTTGAGCAGTAAATCAGCATATTAGAATGATTTCTGAAGGATCATGTAACACTGAAGACTGGAGTAATGATGCTGAAAATTCAGCTTTTTCATCACAGGAATAATAAAGCAATAATCCCTGTGAAGCCATGGTTTACAGTGAATTTATAACAGCTAAGGGGCGTTGTTAGGCACGATGCAAAGTGGAGTGCCTACAATCCCCTTAGCTGTTATAAATTCACTGTAAACCACGGCTTCACGGGGATTATTGCTTTTATAAAATGGTTATTCCATATACGTAGTAAGGTTTCACAAAATAAAACAGAGCAAATAAAGTGTAATGGTATTAATAAAAACATTATTCTTCCGCCAAACAATGCAGTTCCTCAGAATCAGTTGTAGTTCCAACAAAGTGGTTGCCGAGCAACACACAAATGTAAGCAAAGGTGTATGTTTGTAGTGTAATTTACAACAGCTTCGAACTTGGCTCAACCAATCAGAATCAAGGACCGGAACTATCCGTTTTATAAATTACATTTTAACATATATTCAAATAGAATAATGAACAGCTATTGAAAAATGTAATATTTCACATTATTACTGCTTTTACTGTATTTTAGATCACATTAATTTAGCCTTAGTGAGCAGAAGAGACTTATTTTCAAAAATCGTACATTTAAACTTTTATAGTGTATTTACGCAAACGATCAATGACCGCTGAATATTTCCAACTTTTGCATCTTACCTTCTTTCAGCACTTGTTCAACGGTCATGTTGTAGATGTCTGCTTGCAATGAAAGCTCCATTCCCACCACTCGGGTCTTATAAACTACAAAGAAGTAAGTTACAGCATATAAATCGCAGCTCTAAGAATTCAGACAAACAGATTTACACAAGCGGACAGCGGTGTGTTTACCGTACTCCACTCCAGGCGCACAGGCCTTATAGGCACGCTGAGACTCCTTAATGTGATGCTTCTTTTGGAGACTGCAGTTCTCTGCAAATACAGACACATGCAAGTCACCCAAAAATAACCTGAAGAGTTTAAGACTGGCATAAAAACAGTAATACTGTGAAATAATATAACAATTGAAAATATCTGTTATATGTTAAAATGTAATTTATTCCTGTGATGCGCAGCTGAATTTTCAACATCATTACAGTCTTCAGTGTCACATGATCTTCAGAAATCATTCTAATATGCTGATTTGCTGCATTTCCGATTATTATCAATGTTGAAAACAGTTGTGCTGCCGGAAATGTTTGTGGAAACCGTGATTCATTTTATTTGTCAGGATTCTTTGATGAATCAAAAGAACAGCAGTTATTTGAAATATAAATCTTTGTTGACATTATAAATGTCTCAACTGTCACTTTCGATCAATTTAATGTGTCCTTGCTTGAAAACGTCCGTTTGCATTCAGTTTATAGGTGTACGCACCTTCAGCACACTGGCACAGGTCCTCATGGCAGAGTCTGTTCAGCGCTCCGTCTTTCTTATGAGGATGGTAGAACTTCACACAACGGTCATCTGTGGAAATACACACATTACTCTAATTCAATTCACTTCAAATTTATATGTATAGCGCTTTTCACAATACACACTGTTTCAAAGAAGCTTTACAGAAAACGCATTAAGCACAAGATTTTCATTGCACGCTGTTAAAACATCCTGTTTTCTTGTCCATCACACACCCGGAGCGTTGTACTCGTACACAGTGACTCCGGCGGGCTGCAGCATTCCCACTTCATTGATCTTGTGCATTCTGAAGACAACCCTTTCCCTCTCTTTATTAGAAACCTAATGAGACACATGCACAATTACTATGAATTTACATTGGACATTGTAAGTTCATTGAAAGTTAAGTGGTTTTTACATTTGAGCATTTGAGAAACTCAATAAGTTATGAAGACAAACTGGAACAAATTGCTTTTATAATTACAGAATCCAAGTATTTGAATACAAACACTTTTTTGATCATTTTAAAGAGAAATTGAACACAATAATGATAATTGCACTACATAAGGCCTCTCATTCTCATACTTTCAATCAGTGGTGTTGTACATTTTCTACCAGTTATAAGGATCTTATTGAACAAGTCCTTGAAATATCTAATTAAAATTTTTTTATGAATTAATTTACAGAAATTAAAGTATGTGCTTTGATTTAAAATTGAGTTCAAATTGTGTTGGTGTCATATTGTTATGTTATTATTAATGATATGATATTTGACCCTGGCTATGCGTTTATTTAGATAACAATTTCAAGTAATGTTAGTTTGTTTGTTGAGTTTCTTAAAGGTTTGGTGATCAAACATTTGATATTTGCAGCTATATGAATGTTGCACTAAATAGTGAGCCAGTGTACCTTATTCAAGAAAATGATTAGCGATCCGTGCTCAGAAAGCTCCATGTTCATCTCAAATCTCTCGATGTACTTTTCTTTCCCTTTAGATAACTGATGGACATAAATCAGACCATGAAAATACGACATCCACAAGGATACCAGTCAAAACCGAGAATTATCGACAATATAAAAAGGTGCAGATTAATGCAATTTGGATTTTAGCATCACATGAGCCTTTACTTTCAGTTTCAGGTGTTGTGTAGGCTGTCACCTTTTTTACAATCACTGAGCATTTTTACCTTTGAAAGATCATTTTCATCCACTTTAAACCCTGTCAGCAGACCGACATCCACAACCGTCATGGAAGCATCTCTCTCTGAGCTCTTGAAACTGCACAGATGGATTAAAACAACATATAAGATGCGGCATGATCTAATATATCATCAATGCATTCTCACATTAGCTGTACATTCGGATGAATGAAACTGAAATTAGTTTTATACCCACTAGGTTTCAATCGTGAGCAGGTAACTTTCAATGGCGCCTGGATGTGACACTGCATGCAGAAAGATATGATAATGTTAATCGTTACTAATTACTGAGGTCCTTATGGACAAATGCATTGACTAAAGAAAAAGTTTGGGGTCACTAAGATTTTTAATGTTTCTGAAATAAAGTATCTTCTGCTCACCAAGGCTCCATTTATTTGATTAAAAAAAAAAAAAAAAAAATTGTAATATTGTGAAATTCTTCATGCTTCATATTATTATTATTTTTATTTTTTTGTGGAAATCGCTGCATTTTCCTTTTCAGGATTCTTTGATGAAGAAAGTTCAAAAGAATAGTGTTGTTGCACATTATAAATGTCTTCACAGTCACTTGTGTTCAATTTAATGCATCCTTGATGAATAGAATTATTAATTCCTTCCAAAAAAAAAA